AGTTGACCAGCAGAATGGCCAGACGCCAGTAAAGTGCCACCTGCCAATGTCGTTATTGAACGCACTCCAGAATTACCCTACAAATAGAGTTTAGCAACTAACTGGTTATGTGCCTCTAGAAGTTTTTTCTGAAAAATTACGGCAATAAACTACCTCAAACCATTTTTTACACTGAGTTAATCTACCATGAATTAGAAGCCAAATGATTCTCATTTTCACATGAGTTCTAAAAGCTTTGAAAAAAGCTGGGAAAACATAATAGTCCCTTGTCACATACTGACTTTTGTTATCTCAAATCAAAACACCGTACTTGATCGTAAATGGTAAGAGTCACGGTACAGTTCTAGTCTAAATTAAGCGTTTCACGAAAGGAGTGTCATATTCTAATGAAGGGAGGCGGAATCGATAGTTGAAGCCGACGGAATTGGGTAATCCCACAATTGACGCACGAAGTACCTTGGATAAAGACGTCACAGTTCCAGATTCGATATCGACCTTTGCCAGAGACCCATTTGATGACCCGCTTAAGCAAGAGATTACACCAACAGAAAATGTGTCCTTCGAATATTTTACCTTATGATGTTGTGGCTATCAAATTCTGTAACTACGCGAGAGTCTCCCTTTCCATGAACGCTTTCGATTGTTTTAACCTAGAGCATCGCATTGTCACAGAAATGCATTTAATGATAATTGTCGTGAAATAATGCAGAATGAATACTTTCGTCAATTTGTCGTTCATATTGTCAAGAACTGATAGACTTCCATCGTTGAACGATACGCAAGTCAATCCTGGCGTAAAATTGCTTAAAAAATCTGGTTCAACGATTAAAAGTCAGGTAAACTGTGGTGCAAACGTGTCAATTTTACTGAAGATATGAAAATACAAACAATTTTCCAGTTTAATTATTAGATATGAATTACAGTTGTACATACCACATATCGAAGGGATCCACATCCAACGATAACCTGCATAGCTCATCAAAAGGCTCCGCGACATCGTCATCGCTCTCGTTTCTTTTCCATAATGAAGCGCATCGACCTTCGGAGTATCCAAGCCACAGCAAACGACTACCATATGAGAGGAATCTCACCTGAACTAGGCGCCAGGCAAGTGATGTGCACAAAAAGAGTTTCTATGTGATCGTTTTTGTCCAGGCTTCTCTTACAAATAATCCAATTTGCAAATATTTTACTCAGCAAATCAGTGAGTTTACGAAGAAATGCTAGATATTATGTTACTATAATACTATAACTGCTCATACAAACCATTATTCGTCGCCCCCGGACAATTTAACCGGAATAATTGTGTCTTTCAAATAAGGAACAAATGTGGAATACAAATATACAAAT